TACATATTGTTATTATTATTTCATATCTTACACTGTCCGCTGTCTCCCTTAACCCACATTTGTTATTGTCCCCTTCGGGGTGGGGAGGGGCGATCGATCCAGCCTTGTGATGGGTTCCCTCTTTCTCCCCCTTCCTGCTCCATGTCCATCCCCCTACCCTCATGATCTCGCTACTCCGAAGACTGTTCCTGAGGGGTTTATTTTCCTGAATTTCATGTGTCGAGAGCTCGTATCTCTACCAATGTGTCTTCTCCAGTCTAGCCAGATTTGTAAGGTAGAACTGGGTCATGGTAGTGGGGTGTGGGGAGGAAGTATTCAGGAACTAGAGGAATGAAGTGTGTCTCATAGGTGCTATACTACACCTTGTTTGAGTCATCCTTTCCTTATACCACTTCTGTGGGGGGATATCCAATTGTCTAGAGATGGGCTTTGGGTTTCCACTCCAACCCCCTTCTTTCACATCAATATGGTTGTTTCTTTTGGATGTTTTGATACCTGATGCCTGATCCTGTGTCTGATCATTGTGAGGTCCGAAAGAAGTCTCATTGTTTCTTCAGACTATGTGGTTGCTTGGTTTTTGGCGTGCCATGTAATTTTTTGTTGAAAGTCAGGCATGCTGTATTGAACTAAGATAAATAGGCTAGCATTTATTGAAACTGACCAGCAGTTGGGCTTTGTTTAATAGTGGCTGTCTTTATGGGTCAGTGTTTCTCAAAGTGGATGATCCTACCCCCCTGGGGTGCACAGGAATGATCTAGAGGGGCTGAAAAAAGCAGATCCTCACACTTTATCCTGAATTATGGGCTAGAGGACAACAGTTTCAATTTCCAGGACACTGTGAAATTTTTTATTTTCTGAAAAGGGGGCAGTAGGTCAAGTAAGTTTGCGAACCTGTGCTACAGGTGCTAGAGGCTTTGAATTTCTCTAGCATTCTTTAAAAAAGCTTTCTTGGCGGGGAGGGGGTGCTTCCTATTTGGACTTTGGGCTCCCATAATTACTTCTCCTAGACAGAGTCTTACATCCCCTTTAACTGTAATAACTATGCTACTGCAGCCCTGGGGCTGTAAAGTGTGGCGGGAAGAAGAACTTTCTTGAATATTCTAATCAAATCTCCATCGTTTAGTAGGCATGTAGTATACGCTGAAGAAATTCGCACAATGTTATTTCTTATCAAGTTTCACCCACACATTCGCTTTTATGTGAGAGATGTGTCAGAACTGACTCCATGGCCATGAGTTTGGCTGCCCCCTTTTTTTGAGAAACATGAGAGGAGACTGGGGTGAGAGAAATGGTCAGTGCTCAGTTGCTGGGGCAAGGGCATGGTCATCCATTTCCTTCTGAAGGGTTGTCTTTGGTGTGGAGAGGGCTCTGAGCATCCCCCCCACCCATATGTCTACCATGGGCGTGAGAGGATTGGTGTCAGATCTGCACCATGAGAACTGGTGATGTTCCTGAAGATCAAGTCCACTAGACTGCCAGGAGTTCCTCACTCCCACACTCATTTACAGCCTCCACCAATTTACCAAAATGCCCATGTAAGTGTCCCCACCAGTGATGGCTCCAGGGTTTTCTTCTCTGGAAGAAAACCTCAGCTATGACTCTGTGGGCTCCCTTGACTCTCTGAATTTCAAGGTACTATCTTGCCTTGCAAACTTGATTTGTTGATGGGTAACGTTGTCAATTTTCAGTTGTTGTTTTTTCCCCAGTTTGTCCAGTTTTTTGTTTTTGTTTTGTCTTAGTTTCATTTGGTAAGTACAATTCTAAGCTCTTTATACCTCAGATATGAAACAGGAAGATGATTTCTATATGCTTTAAAGTTCCTATTACTTCTTTTAAACCAACAACCAAATCCTCCCAGGTCCTTAATAGTGATTCTTCACATTAAGACTTCCCCGTTCAAAGTACCTGGTGGCTTTGTCCCTGATTGGACCCTTAATGATATATGAGGATTGAACCCTACTGTTCCTCATTATAGATGGTGTATTCTTCCCAGTAGATTATACAAACCCAGACAAGCGATGTAAATCAATGAACACAGTCAATAGAACTGAGCACATGGCTAAGACTATGAAGGCAGAACAGTTGAATGTGGCATTGCAGATTCAGAAAGAAGACGAGAGAGAGAGAGAGAGAGAGAGAGAGAGAGAGAGGATTGGTAATTCACCACACCTAGAAATGAATATGGCAAGGTGGTATGTATTGCCTGAGTTTCCTAATTGACCACATCCCAGAAGGAGCCTTGGTGACACTATCAGGTAAGCATTAGACTGCTAACCTCAAGGGAGGCAGCTTAAACCTGCCAGCCGCCCCTCCGGAGAAAGATGAGGTGCTCTGCTCCCATGAAGGTTTACAGCCTCAGAAACCCTGTACAGTGTGTCAGGATCGGTTCGATGGCAGCGGTGTCACAACTTCTCAGAGCATCCCAGTGCCCTCTGTTGCTGGATCTGTGACACCGATTCTCTCGGAGGCAACCCATGGGGTTTGATTTGCTCAAGAACGTCAAGACTGGCACAATCATTTATTTGACCCTTCTCCAATCCCTCAGACTACTTATGGTCTAAAAGTCAATCCCACTTTATAATCACACTTGAGTATAATTCTTTTTTTTTTTTCCAGAAAAGAGCTGGGAAAAGGCTTCTTTTTATCGTTCCCTGTTTAGCAAAATCTTGATAATGAGTTCTTAGTGCCAGACGCTCGGCCAGACCTTGCCGAGGAGAAGAAAAGTAGGACTACAGTGTTGTAAAGACTCCACGAGAAAGACAAGCTCTGGAAGGTACTCACGCCTGCATTCTGCATAATATTGGCAGAGCGTGATCAGACCGGTTTGTACGCAAAGGAAGAAACCGGTCATCCATACTGACTTTTATTTGTTTGCTTGTCTATGTGGAAGAAGACAGATCTTTTTAGTCCTTTGAAGATGCAAGAAGGCAAAACCTGGGAAATACCTTGGCTGCATAAGCCGCCCCACAAGGCAGGACTAAAACAGGACTTCCAGGGCATACAACATGTTAGGACAGTTACACACTCATTTAGCTATCGCTGGTGGTTGTGTCAGGATCCCTGCCAGCTGGGTGTGTAAGTGAGGGCTGCTCAGCAGAAGGTCAACAGTTCAAATGCACCAACTGCTGGGTGAGAAGCTGCAGCAGTCTGCTTCTTTCAAGATGACGACCTTGGGAACCCTGTGGGGGCAGTTCTACTCTGTCCTATAGGGTTGTTAGAAGCTGGAATCAGCTTGATAGCAATGGGTTTGGTTTTGTTCTCTGGTGGGCTAGTGGTTGGATTGCTAACCCCAAGGTCAGCAGTTCGAAACCAGCAGCTGCCCCACGGGAGAAAGATGAGGCTTTCTGCTCTCATAAAGAGTTCATCTCAGAAGCCCACGGGGCATGTGTACCCAGTCCTATTAGGGTCGATGTGAATAGGAGTCAACTCATGACAGTGAGTTTGTGTGTGTGTGTGTGTGTGTGTGTGTGTGTGTGTG